AACATAATTGTAGGGATTTGAATCACACACAAAGCCTTCAGATAGCAAGCAAAAACAAGTCCAAGAAACAAAAAAGATAAATTAAACTGCAACACTTTAGTAGTAAGCCGCTAGGGTTTGAGATTTGATTTTTATTTCTGACTATAAAAGTGATTAGTTGTGAAAAGTGAAGTCACTTTTCTGATTTACAAAAGTGAAAAGTCATTCCTAACAGATTTTTAGTTTTTTCTTTTAAATAGGTGAGCTCGTTCGCGGTCTGCCCTTCCCGCCTCGCTGAATCCCGCGATACGTGCTTCCCAACTCGTTTAGGTTGGTTCTTTAGCGGGTCTTCAAAATATAAGTTCAATCCACCCTTTAGGCGGTGTGAACGCGGCAGCTCGCAGGCCACTAGCCCGTTTCGAAAAGCCTATAGTCGGTTAATAGCGATATTATTTGAACAAACGGGTTGTTTGTATGAACCAAAGCACTAATACTCACACAACAACACCTCCAACAATTTCATGTTCTCATAGTGTGTCCATTTCGGCTCTAGACCATATCCCGGTTTAGTACGTGTTTGTTTGAAGTGACCTACTTATTTTTCACTTACGAAGATGTTTCTCCTATAAAGAGTATTATGTCTTACTCCACACCCTTAGGTACATAAATCTTTAAAAGTATTTGACTTAACCTCACCACATATGCAGATTTAACACTTGACAATTCTTAAGAATTAGCTATAATTTTAAAGTGTTTCATCCAACTGCCGAAATTCAGTTTTTTCATTGAACAAGATTTCGAGATGTCCGATTTTCAAGGTTGGGTTACCGCTAAGACTAGTCTTATAATTTGGATTTTAAACTTATTCCTCTAATCAAATTGTACACTTGATCTTGATTAATGCCTTTAGTAAGCGAATCAACTAGGTTTTCTTTTTGACATTACATAGTCAACCAAAATAACACCACTGAATATCATCTATCTTATGGTATTGTGTTTTTTGCAACATATATGTCGAGACTTACCATTATAAAAGTTGCTTTGTGCCCTTTCAATTGTCGATTGATTATTACAATGTATAAACACGGTGGACACCGATTTACTCCAACGTGAAATATCCTAAAAAAAATCTAAGCAATTCAACTTCATCCTAGATTTTATCATAAGCTATAAACTCGTATTCCATCGCAGATATAACAATACACGTTTGTTTCAAAGATTTCAATGACACAATTTCTCCACCTATTATTACACGTATCCACTCGTGGACTTGGAGTCTCTCATGTTCAATATCCAGTTCACATGCAATACTGGTGTGGATTAGTATCTATTATTATTATTATTATTATTATTATTATTATTATTATTATTATTATTATTATTAGCATTATAATTTAATAGGTGTCTTAGAAAATAAGTTAGGAATTTAATATTATTGTTTAATATTTAGTAAGAGATCTTGTCTTGTTGGACAAGTTAAAGTCTAGGGTTAGAAGCCTTATATAAAGGACTCCCTCTAGTTTATTTTCCTTGGTTGATTATGAATGTAAATATGAATTGATTGTGAGTTTTATCGAGAGAGTATCTCGTTTATCCTTCCCATTCGTACGCTTCCCTATATCAATTGGTATCAACAGTCAGTACGATTCGCGATGACGCCGGGACGACAAGGTGCCGCAAACGAATGACGTGACCCAACCTTCAACGATCGGTTTCAACAGCTCGACTACCGATTTCAACAATTGAACGCGCGTTTTCGATGGGGATCTAGGATTTGCGTTTGACGTTAACAACGTGGTATGGGCCACCGACGACCGGGGTGTGTGCGGGGGAGTTCACGGAGGAAGTGGAGATCGTGGTCCAGGCGGGGCGCCCGTTCGGCGATCTCCACAACCGTCGCCCGGTGATGCAAACGTCGAGGAGACCAAGACGTGCAACAACAGAGTGCGATTTTTGAGGAAGATGACGGGCCATTGTACGACGGTCCACCTATTTTCGATGAGGAGCCTCCGGTGACGGACACATATCTTTGCGGCAATATGGGTCCCGCGTAGGACGTCGCAGAAGTTGAGCCTTTGATAGGGATGCCATCGTTCAAACCTAATTTTTGGAATATCTTGGCCAACGATGGTTTTGCGAAGCTGAAGCCGAGGCTCAATAACTGGTGGGCCATTTTCCGATTGTCTATCCTGAAGTCTCTCAACAACGGGATGCTTGGCCGTAGTTATGGATTTGAATGCGGTGAATGATGTGGTATATTTGGTGTTAATTCCGCTGTGTGGGTTATGCATATGGAGGCGTGTACATGTGCCTTTGCAGCAGTTCAATTCTTGCTCATGATTATGTTTACCATGGGGATGGTTGGACGACATTCATCCTTCGTGTTCGATCGGGGAAACGACGGGGGTTTCCTACCATGAGTTCGACACCACACACCGGCCACGAGAGCGCATCGATTTCGAGGACGAAGCCTTCCGAACCGGGGGAGAATGTTGTCGATTTGTATCTAGTATTATTATTATTATTATTTGATGTAGGGCAGTCTACGAATGAGAAAGATAAACGAGATACTCTCTCGATAAAACTCACAATCTTATTTTCATTCAATAATCAACCAAAGAAAATAAACTAGAGGGAGTCTTTTATATAACACTCCTAACCCTAGACCTTAACTTGTCCGACAAGACAAGATCTCTTACTAAATATTAAACAATAATATTAAATTCCTAACTTGTTCTCTAAGACACCTATTAAATAATAATGCTATATTAAAAAGGTCATTTCTCTCTCTCTTTCTCTCTCCTGTGTGAAAAATCCCAAATCGCCGATCGTCTTCTTCTTGGGGGGGCCCGACGAGTGCACGGTGGGGCTCAACTGGGCTTCGTGGACCTTGTTGGAGAAGATGCGCTGCTAGGAGGGAGCTTTTTCGCTGGGGAGATGGTCACGCCGAATTCTGGCTTCCGCCTCGGGGCTGGGAATGAGTGGCAGGCGGTTGTTCTTCCTCTAATATCTCCATTGTAGCAGCCTCTGGCGCTCTTCTGGTGAGGGTTACGACCCCAATTTCTCGATCTAGGGTTTGGGGTGGAGATTTTGTCTGGACATTAGTGTTTTTCTCGGCCAGGATTCTGGTTTTCGAAGGCGTGGTCGTCGGCTCTGGTTTGGGGCGTTGGTCGGCTCAGGTAAGGGACGTTGGTCGGCTCTAGTTCTGGCTGTCGGATTCGTTGTCGATGAACCTAGTTCTGGGTGTTGCTTGGCGCTCGAAGGGCTGGGGTTATGGGTGTCGATTTCGTTGTCGATGAGCTTGGATCTAGGTGTTGGACGGCGCTCGTTGGGCTGGACTAATTAGCTCAAGGCTCGGACCATTGTTACTGACTATTTGGCTGGACGTTTTGATCTTCGGGTGTCAGTGGAGTTGTTCGGTTGGACGAGGATTGGGCCCGATGTTACCGACTCCGTTAGGCGTTCTTTTGCATTTTCGGGGTCGAACTCTTGGGCCAGGACTCTGCCATTGTTGTGTTTGGTGTGGTCTCCTGATTGGGGAAGGGATTTGATTTAGTTTTTTTGGTATAATTTTGTGTTTGTGAGTGTCGTTTGTTCGACTTTGTGTTAGTGTTGTTCTTTGGTCTTGTATTTTTTGTTTGGGCCACTTGGTCCATGTGTGCCCGGGTGTAACTTTATTATCCTGTTGGAATCCTACACTCGGGAATTATCCCGTTGGGATCTTTTTAGTTGTGTTAGTTTTTGTCAGTTGTTAGTGTAGTTGCGAGTTTGTCATTCTAGCGTTGATAGACGGTTCTAGGCGATCTTCGGATCTGCCTCCCAATTTTATAGTCTCTGGTTGTACTATTCAGCCTTTGGCTAATTTCTTTTCGCACTTTGTGCGGTTTTGTTAATATAGTACCTCTATCGTTTCGAAAAAAAAAATACTATAATAATAATAATAATAATAATAATAATAATAATAATAATAATAATAATAATAATAATAATGCTTATTTTCTCTAAGACAAGATCTCTGAATGAAAACATGATTTGATATCTAGATGTTCTTGAGATTGTAATCTCATTAATATCGTCTCACTCGTACGCTTCCCCATATTATTGTTATTATTATTATTATTATTATTATTATTATTATTATTATTATTAGCATTATTATTTAATAGGTGTCTTAGAGAATAAGTTAGGAATTTAATATTATTGTTTAATATTTAGTAAGAGATCTTGTCTTGTTGGACAAGTTAAGGGTCTAGGGTTAGGAGCCTTATATAAAGAACTCCCTCTAATTTATTTTTTTTGGTTGATTATGAATGAAAATATGAATTGATTGTAAGTTTTATCGAGAGAGTATCTCGTTTATCCTTTCCATTCGTACGCTTCCTCACATCAAATACCCTTCAAGTACTGATCAATATCTCGTATATTTTATTCCAAAAGTTTAGGTATGTTTCTAATACCAGTACTTGGTTTAGTGCATTTCAATGTTCAACGCTTAACGTACCTTCCAGGAACTAGCTTCCGACTTGTCACAATATACATTCCTCGTGCTTGGAAACTTCTGAGCAGGTTGTTACTAATAAGTGGTTCTCAGAGCAACTATATAATGATCTTTCAATACGGTGTGTTACGATTTTTTTATGAATTGTTCGAGGATAGTCTTTCTTTTCCAACTTTCGAAGCGCAGTGAAGTTACTCGTGAACATACTTAGCTTACTCATTGAATATGCTATATTGGCGCAAGTACAGTTCATCAAGTACATCAAGCTCCCAATTACTCACAAATATTCTAGTTTAGCACTTTGGTTTTTAACTACATGTTCAATTAAATGAGCAAGCGTCTTATATGAAGGCTTATCAAATGCATTTGAGCCTCTTCGATATACTTTTAATGTAATGAGATTATGTCAAAAAAAAAAAAAAATCAGCACTTACATCGGTTTTTTCATATTGTTTATGTCGAAATGCTTTCTTGTGATTGAAAATTTATCCAGTACCTTTTTTAGGATCAACATGTGTCCACATACAGTCACGAATGATTCGAAGATACATTCAATATAGACACATTTATCACATTCATTGATTTCAAATTCGTTCCACAATCATTTTGTCAATTTTTTTCTTGTCATTGTTTAGGTGTTTGTTTTAGTCCATAAAGTGGGTTAACCAAGTGAGACACTTTTTTCTCTTCTCCGGGTGCATTGAACCCCTCGGGTTGTTCTATATACATTTCTTCCTTGAGGTCTCCATTTTAGAAGGTCGTTTTTACATTCATTTGATGAGTTTCAAGGTCATGCATTGCTACAATCACAATGTTAACATGTATAGATGTAATTCGAGTTTCTGAAAAATATCAAAGGAATCACATCTCTCTATTTGTTTAAACCGTTATACAAATAAACTTTCTGAGTACTCATTAATATTTTCATTAGCTTTATAATCTTTTAAGAATGCATTTATATCCCAGAGGTTTGCTACTGAGTGATGGATCAACTGACTTCCAAGTATTATTATGTATAATGAATTCTATTTCATTATTGATAGCTTCCTTCTAAAATGAAGCTTTCTCGGTTCATTCTCCAACATATAAGTTAAAAATTAATTAATTTACTTTTGTTTTACTTCTCCTCGGCTCATCCTAAAATTCTTGAAGTAGTTCGGCCTCTTTAGATGTTTTTTTTATGGAGATCAATTTCTCCTTGTCTTTTCATGGAAAAATATCATCGAGAACACCTCATTGTAAAACTCAATAATGGTTCCATTATGAATGTCCAGAATTTTATGATTCGTGAAGCACAAACTGATATGCACTACTATTGTTTGCATTTCTTCCGCATAAACTCAAAAGAAACTGTGGATTACTCAGCGTTCCTTGTCAATGCATCTTTTAATTCAAGTATATAACTTCAAATTAGAAACAAAAATTTAGAAAACTGATTAGATATTCTTAATGAATCCCAATTATAATCCAACACGAAAAGTAAAAAAAATAAGAAAATAACCCACATGTTCTCCCAAACCAAACTCTCATATTTTAGAAAAATCAAACAAAGGCACCCTCAGCCTGGAATCAAGCATCACAGCCAAAAAACGTTGATTTGGTTCCAATCGTCTTCTTCGCTATCAGATACAAAATTCGAATCAGCAAAATCTTTATCAGATGAAGATTGTATGACTTTACTTTTCCTAGACGTCTTAGAACTTTGAACTGCACCCTCTCGAAATCTCCATTTCTTCTTGCGCCTACCATCACTCTCGTCGCCCAAAACAACAACATCTTCCATTAAATCGACAAAATCACTTTTAGATTTGGAATTGCGACTACGAAAATGCTTTAGTTTTTCAATAGAAGACCTAGTTCTAACCATAATTTGATGAAAGTAAATAAGAAAAAAAAAAACATAAAAAGATGAAATAAAAAGAAAGACAAGATGAAGAAGCAAATACGAACAGAAAAAGGAATAAAATCAGAAGAAGAGAAAGAATAAAAAAGAAATAAAGAGAGAATGAAAAGTTGAGGGTAAATCGGTGAAAAGATTTGAAACAAAAGAGAAGCAATGGCTTCTCATCGAGAACCGCTAAAACTGACTTATCATATACAGTACTACGTAAAAAAGTAAACAGTAAGAGAATTAAAAATAGATATATAAAATAATTAACAATAATGTATTATATAAATATAAATAATTTAAAAAAAAAAAAGACAAGGAGTAATTTTCTCATTATGTCTTGATATAAAATACAGGGGCCAACAGATGAGTTGTCTTCTGAAGCCCATAACCAGAAGCCCACGATAGTAGGCCCACAATTGGTTTATACTCCAGCTTTTAAGTGACTGGCTAGTGGCCCAATCCAGTGATCTTTACGAGAACATTTTTGTTCCCCTGATCGATCTTAAAGCCACTGTCATCATCTTCGCTACAAACCCGCGGGACCAAAGGAGAGAAACTTCGAGGTCCAGTTTGCATTCCAGATTAGATTATCTCTAGAGATATTGCGAACGCGATTGCCATGCCTGTCGAAGTAGCGAACGTTGCGTCGGAGGTTACTTCGTTGCCCAACGGCGATTTGAAATCCCAAAACCCTAGCGGCGCAGCGAAGAAATCTCGGGAATCCGAGCGCCGCCGGAGGCGTCGGAAGCAGAAGAAGAACAAGCATAACGCAGATGGCGGAGATGACATCGACGCTGCTGCGGAGTACGCCAACGGCACCGCCGAGGATAGCTCTAAAGAAAACTCCAATCCTCAAAAGGTACTCGGAAATTCTTCGAGTGTTCTGTGTTTACCGGATAATGAATTGTATTGGTGTTAAATCGAGAGTTCGGTTCCTGATTTTGCTTTTCGTTTCGCATCTCCCTGTGTAGGATTTGGGCACTTATATGAATATGCATATTTAGTTGAACGGAATACTATAGTACATGGTGAAATTAGTTGATCTTTAGTAGAAAGAGCTACTGCCTAATGTGGACTATCATGAAGTATAGAAGAATATGATTTATTCTTCTTCTTTTTTTTTTTTGGTAAGTTTCTTCGTAATATGTATCTTTTCACGCTTTCTTTGTAATATTTGATGCTGACTGTACCTTGGAGCCTTGGGAGTATAACATTGTCAAATAAGAATATACTTGAAGCATCTTTTTTGTTTCTATTTCTCTCTCGTTTGTGTCCCGCCGTTCAATGCATAACTGTGTTAGTGAGTTATACAATTATCAAATGTGCTGAAAATATTTGTGTTTGTGATTTATTAATTTTAGCATAACAAGATGTTGTATTGTCTCGCCATAAACTCATTAAATCATCATACGGGGGAGCCGTTTATTGAACTTCGTAGCATGGAACTTACACATTTTTATGTCATTATCAGGCTTTAGAACCAGTAGAGGTCGAGTATGTGCCAGAAGACGCAGAATTAGATGGAGTCTTGGATGATGAGTTCAGGAAGGTCTTTGAAAAATTCAAATTTTTGGAATCGTCTGCTACAGAGGTAAGATAGAAGTCCTTTGGTTTGTTGTGAATTTTATTCTTTGTCCTTCCCTCTTTTTAATTGATTCTTTTATTGCATGTTATTCATGTTTTTCAGGAGAATGATAAGGAGGATGCTGCTGCAGTTGATGCACCCGCAAAGAAAAAGAACTCAGATTCCGACGATGAAGAGCAAGAGACTCAGCAGAAAGAAAAAGGAGGAATATCTAATAAACAAAAAAAGGTTGGTATTTTACACTTCATTTCTGTTGAATTCTATTTTTTTTTTTAAATGCAAAAGAACTATCTGTTATGCTTATTGTTTATGTCAGAATGACATTCCCTAGGCTAATACATTGTTGCTGTCTTACAGATTCAACGGAGGATGAAAATTGCTGAACTGAAACAGATTTGTTCCAGGCCTGATGTAGTTGAGGTAAAGTTAACTATTCATATATATCATGCCTTCTCCATTCTGATCAGCTTTTAAAGATAACTATTCATTAGTTAAGAATTGAAAGGGCAGAATATGTTGAATTTTTATGAAATGTTATATATATAATTCTCTATAAGGGGTGTGTTGATGGTTATCATGCCTTCTGCATTCCGATGGCCTTGCTTTTGGCTTGCATATAAGATCCCTTTTGATTTGTTTTTTATACGCAGCTGAAATATTACCCTCTGTCTTATTTTTGTCCTTTTTTCACCCATTTACTTCATCTCATCCTAATGATACTGAGTCTAAGCTTTCATCTTGCAACAAGAGCTCAAATTGAGATTCTGGCAAAAAAAAATCTCTTTGGATCGGTTACTAATTGTTAGTTTATCTTAAATTAAAACAGGCGTTGAAACTAATAGCATATAATTTATGTCTCTTCAAATGACTGTTCGACACTTCTGTTATTGCTTTCCAGGTATGGGATGCAACTGCAGCAGATCCAAAGCTGTTGGTATATCTAAAATCATACCGGAACACTGTTGCTGTACCGCGACACTGGTGCCAGAAAAGGAAATTTTTACAGGTTTGTTACAGTGGCTTATTTTCTGTACTGGGATAAGTGTAACCCATGCATTGCTGGGACATGTTTGCCTTGTTTTTATGTTATGTTAAAAAATTCTTATGGGGAATGATGGGGTCATTGATCGGTGTATTTAGGAAGTGGGAATGGACTAGAAGTCATTGAGGTTGTCTTATACATGTACATGTGGTTCTTGCAGGGGAGCTGCGGTGGCACTTGTGGAGCCTTGAAAAGTATGTGTTCGCAAGGAAATCCTTGCATGAATTTTGTTCAATGTACTTGAGTCTGGATTGGGTGTTGGTCTTATTTGACCTTAAAATTTTATTGAAAGAATCAAATATTTGGGGAATTAAACATGTCATTGAGATTGAGGATGATGAGAAATCCTAGGAATCTTTGATGGATTGCTTTTACTGATCAAGGCAATGAGCTAGTAATGTTACTTAGAACTGAAGCAGACATAAATTTTTTTGTGTGGATGCCGCTTCTATGTCAGTTTGAGAGTCAAGGCATTAAGTATTTTTGGTTTTGCCTCAAATCTTGTGAAAATATGTTAATGTTATCATATAACTAATATCTTAATTTGAGGAGGTAACAATTTGGCACTAATAGGCATTTTTTCTATTGAAACCCTTATTTAAGAATTGAAACATTGAATGTCGGGAGGTTAAATACTTTTCTTAAGGACATTTGTTCATTTTAATTTGGTTGTAGTAATTATGTTTGTCTGGATTAACAATTTGTTTAATGCTTCTGTAATGTCCTTGCAGGGTAAGAGAGGTATTGAGAAGCAACCTTTTCAACTTCCTGACTTCATTGCTGCCACGGGAATCGAGAAAATTAGACAAGTAAGAACAAATTTTTTGTTTTGCTCGAATGAATTTTTATTCCTCTACAGGCATTCTTCAAGATTTGAGAGGATTTTGCTGTAACAGGAGTTGGTTTTTCAGGGATTAGGAATCACATATGGATATACACCTCTTGACAGTACACTTTTACTGCTGCAGGATTTTTTATGCATGCCTATGCTCATCCATGTTTTTGCAATTGTTTCTCTTGCTTTGATTGTCTTTAGCCACTGACTGCACTTTTCAGTTCAATCGTTTCTGGGCTTGCTGATTTGGGTTGGTTTTAACCTGTCAGGCATACATTGAAAAGGAGGACAGTAAAAAATTGAAACAAAAGCAGCGTGAGAGAATGCAGCCTAAAATGGGAAAGATGGACATTGATTATCAGGTACTTTGAGATTATTGTGTATGCCCAGTGTTCATTAGGTAGTTAACGAGTGTAAGTTTGTTTTATGTTTTTTTTTTTTTTGGTCCCTCTTTCTGACCTTGATTTATCAACTTCCAAATTTTATAGGTTCTTCATGATGCCTTCTTCAAGCATCAGACTAAACCTAAATTGACAACTCATGGTGATTTATATTACGAGGGGAAGGAATTTGAGGTAAGGATGATAAAATTTACGTCCTGAGACATGCAATGGTCATTCAATGTGTACAATCCACAAGGTTATACAGTGGATTTTGTCTGTGATACTGTTAAACCATGAACGTGTATGGCGTCTTTTTCATTTTTCTTCCTTTGCTTGAAGAATCTTTATATGTCTATACATTGTCGGTGTGGTTTGGCCATTGCTTTGGAACTTGTCTGTATCATTTATAGGATGTCACATAGATATGGAAAATGGTATGTGCTTTGGTTGTAAACTATGTATATATACTGAGATGTATTCATTTTGATTTGGTTGCTGCCAGGTTAAATTGCGAGAAATGAAGCCTGGGACATTGTCACAGGAGTTAAAAGAGGCTCTTGGCATGCCTGAAGGCGCCCCTCCTCCATGGCTCATCAATATGCAGGTTAGACTATAATTCATTGTCTACTGTTTTCCATGTGTTCCACTCGACTAGTTTCCTGGAAATTGTACTTCATGTTGTATCTATTCTTCTGCCATTGCAGAGGTATGGTCCCCCACCTTCTTATCCTCACCTGAAAATTCCAGGGCTTAATGCCCCTATTCCACCTGGAGCTAAATTTGGCTACGGACATGGAGACTGGGGGAAACCTCCTGTGGATGAAGTAGGGTTTAATTTTCATCTTTTTTCTGATGATGTATCTTTATTTTAAATTTTTATTTTCTTATATTTGGTGTTGCATTTCTGAAAATAGTATGGCCGTCCCCTCTATGGAGATGTTTTTGGTGTTCCTCAACAAGATCAACCCAATTATGAGGTACCACATCTGGCTTTTTAACAATTTCCATCTTGTTCTGTAAACCGCTTATCATTTCTGAATTCAGGCATGTAATTCTGTTGCATTTGATTCTCATAATGATTGTTTTCAGGAGGAACCAGTCGACAAGACAAAGCACTGGGGAGATTTGGAGGAAGAGGAAGAGGAAGAAGAAGAAGAGGAAGAAGAACAAGAGGAAGAAATGGATGAAGCTGAGCTGGAAGATGGTATTCAGTCTGTTGATAGTCTTTCAAGGTATTTTGCATGCTTCTGCCTCTGTCAACTTTTCTAAGTTGAATGGATTTTCTATTGTGGTCACAGTTAGTGATGATCGTGATAATGCTTAGGACTTCTTGTTAATTTTGCTAACTTATTTTCTGATTTGGTGGGATTCTAGTACACCGACTGGCGTTGAAACTCCTGATGTTATTGATCTTCGGAAGCAACAGAGGAAGGAACCTGACAGGCCACTTTATCAAGTAACAATCTTTAAAAAAAAAAAAAAATCACTCTTTTACTGCATTGTTTCTGGGCAAGTCACTTACCATCCATTTCTTGGTGTCTAGGTGCTTGAAGAAAAGGAAGAGAAGATAGCACCGGGAACTTTGCTTGCTCCAGGCCATACGTATGTCATCGTTTTTTGTTGACAAAATTATATCCCTTATGAAACTTAATTTTTACATCTAAATTGTCATATATTTCCGATGCAGGTATGTGATTAACACAGGTGCACAGGACAAAACTGGTGCTAAAAGAGTAAGGACATTAATTTTTCTCAGTTTTGCTTCTTTCTGAGAGATTTTTTTAGAATGGAAGTTCATATGAAGATGTCAAATTCATGATTGATGACTTGGATGTTTTCCGTTTAAGCAGGAAACTTGTATAACATCTATAAGACTAAAACAAGAAACTTGTAAAGCGCACACACACACACACACACACACACACACACACATATATATATATATATGAAATTCTCTTTTTGGTGTCTCCTTTCTTTTGACTTTTCATTTCATCAGGTTGATTTGCTGAGAGGCCAGAAATCGGACAGAGTTGACGTTACATTAGCACCAGAGGAGTTGGATGTCTTGGACAATGTATTGCCAGCCAAGTACGTTGAGGACAAATTTGTGATTGCTTGATTTACTGGTTTTTCTAATCACTTAAGCTTGACTTAAAATTCTGCTAATGCTTTTTTCCAGGTATGAGGAAGCTAGAGAAGAAGAGAAATTGCGAACCCAGCGGGAGGATTTCAGTGACATGGTTGCCGAGGTAATTACACTAATTTGGAACCGGAAATTTTTTCTGCTCTCTCCTTTTTTCCGTCCTTGTTAGTAATTTCTGATTTGTTGGGAAAAAATTGTTTCAGAATGAGAAGAAGAGGAAAAGAAAGATGCAGGACAAGGAGAACAAATCAAAGAAGAAGGATTTCAAATTTTAGATTTTGTTGGTTCTCTACTTTTGAACTTTTCGAGGGATGATGAGAATGGCTTTGGGTGATGGCCTGCTTGTATTGTCCTATGTATTTGTGTTGCTATACTTGAGAGATAAAACCTTAATATTTTTAGCCTTAGGTTTGTTTACCATTACAGACTCAGCACGATGTCCTTTCATCCTTTTGGTAAATCCTGGTGTGGGTGTCCTTGTTTTGACCTATTAAGTTACTGTGAACTATTTTAACCTATCTTGGTGTTTCATTTTTTTTTCTTGTTTCTCTCACTGGGCATAAGCTTTTATGTAAACTGGAAGATATTCAAGGTGGAATTACAAGCATCATCTGCAATTGTACATTGGATGGCACAAATGTATTGTCACGTGGCATATATATATATATATATTCCTCAGAATGAGGGTTGCTGGCGAGTGGAATGGTAGATTCTTGAAAATGTAAAACGTGGACTTAAACTGCGTGCTTGTAGTAGAATTTGTAAAAGTCGTTGCATTGGTGATAGCTTTTCTTTTTTTTTTTTTTTACATAA